TAATTACCAGCTTGTTTTAAGACCACAGTATTCCATAATTTCAACCAAGCTTATTAATGGAAATGCTTATGAAGAGTCTGGATTGATTTATGGCTTTTTTTTTTAAATTCTGATGTCAAAGCACACTATAGCGGCTGACAAACTATTTATCCAGAAAAGGGTTGAAGTTGCTCATGTGAAACTGATTTCTCATGAATATCATGATACACTGGTCTCTTCAACTTTCACTGCAACACAATTTATTTGCTACACGGCCAATTTTGAATTCCACTGGAGAACAACGGGTAATTATGCAAGAGATATGCCTTCATGCTTTCCTGCTGTTCCCTCACTCTTATCTGGGTGTGATTTTTCTCTAACCTCTTGAACCTTTTTTCCTTGGGGCTAATACATTTGTTCTTCTCTACAAAGATAAGCGAGTAAAACCATTGCTTCCTCTGTTCTCCCTCAACAATCTCCGATATCAGCCTCACTAAAAATAGCTACACTCCGTCCAAGCTACAGTAAGTTACCCCTGAAGATTGCTCAGAAGCAACTGCTAGGGAAGCTGGCAGCTGCACGGTTATTTAGAACCAGCTGGCCATATGGCATATGAAGGACTTAGACTGTAAAGAAATCTCTGAACTGCCAGTTAGTTTTCTGAGGTATTTTGAAACACTGCAAACATATTTTACTTCCTGGATGTCTCTAGGAATACCTTTTATCATCACAACTTTAAAGTTAGCTTCTGTTCAATCATTCCTGGAGTGTTTCTGGCAGAATATGAGTCCATGTATTCTGTGATCTGACCAATATGGGAATGAAATAATGAGATAGGACTTGTCTACAGTTATTGTCTAGGATGTTACTGTATTTTACTGCCATTTGGGTTTGATTTTCTTTCTTTGCTTATAGAGCTATTGGTTTAGTATAACTAAATAGAAAGGAATGTTTCTCCCAAATCCATCAAAAACAAACTAACCCAAATAAAAACATTAACTTTGTTAGACTCCTCTCACTACCCTAACCACTAGAACTGTTTTCTGTATCATGCAGTTAATGTTATAATATCTAAAAACAAGTCTAAAACTTCATATTTGTCTAAAGATTAAGAATTCTTACACTTATAAAAATAACAGAGTATGTCATCCTCTCCAACGACTAACTGAATGATTGATACTTTTTTAAAGAAAGTGTTAAGCGCATCAGGATGTTTAATTAAAAATTTTGTGAGGGCTTCAGTGATGTCTAATACTTATTCCCTACACAGCATAATATTTAATCTCCAGTTGAGCACATAGAAAATGTATAGGAGATATTTTTGCACAGTTATTTTGTCCTGACTTACACAATGATCCAAATATTATCCAGTTTAAGACATGCGTTGTGTGTAGCACCGTAATGGTGTACTCAGCACAGGACGACAATGTGCATTATGTCCTAGAAAGGCGAGGCAAGCCAGTCATTGCAAGTGAGGCTATTAAACGAGTTTGTCTGAAGAGGCAGGAGCCTGACTCTAGGACTGCACAAGAGGCTGCTGAACCATACTTTGCCTGCAGGTGTCCAAAGAGCGCCTTGCAATGCTTCAGTATTTTTATTTAGTTTTTTATTGCACAGAATGTGAAAAACAGACTTGCGGCTGTGTGTCGATCTCCTCAATGTCTGCTGATAGAAACTTGAAATAAACACATCTAACCTCTGTAGGCTTGAGTTCCCAAGCACAATGCAGTTGAGTATGGGCTCTTTGCATTTCCTGTTTAACAAACACAGGACAAAAAGAAGATGTATCCCAAATCTTAAGGTGTCATGGCCATAATGCATTCACCGAGGCCCTTAAAGTTGGCAAAAGTATGTCTCTCAATCTGCCAATCTTTCTCTGTTACTCTTTCAGTCCTTTGGTTTATCCCCCTGACACTCTGCATATGTATTTACATGTACTTGCTAAATATAGGTAACTATATAAATAACATGTAGGTATTTATATAGGTAAATACATATGTAAATATATTTTATATATATATAATACACATATAACTCATATATGCACATATACACATATATACACACAGAGAACAAAGGCATACATATATTTATATGCATGTGTTTAGACATAATCCATTTCAGTGACTATTAGATTTCCACAAGGACATGTTGACGAGGTAGTTAAATATAAATCCAGAACCTTAGGGAGAGACTGGGGATGGACATACACATTTTGGGTTCTGAAGCATGTAGATGATATGAGGTCATACAAGAAAGAAAAGTCTGAAGACTAAGTCCTGGGCTTCAAGGTCTGGAGGAAGAGCTCTAGTCACAGGAGCTGAGGGAGAGAATAATAACGAAAGGATGAGAGCAACTGACTGCAAATACCATTTTCAGCAAGCTTTGCTATAAAGGTGAGCAAAGAAATCAGATAGTGGCTGTATGGGAATAAATACAGACAGAAACAGATATGGCTACAGTTGTCATGAGAATTACAGTTTTAGATAAAGATATGGATTCTCCCTCCGGGTCATTATTCTTGGTATTCGCTCCTATTTCTGATTTTTCTCTGGTTGGTTCTTTCTCATTATCCAGTGTTCTACTAGATTATCACACCCAATTATTGCTTCCACCACCATTAACCCCTTTCCCTGTCCTCTGTTTTATTTTAATCCATCACAATTATCAATACCTGATGGTATTAAATGTATTTATTCCCTTATTTATTCTGTCTCTCCCACTGGAATGTAAATTCCAGGAGGGAAAAAAATTTGTCACATTTATTCCTGTGAACAAGAACTGTGCACTACACATAGTATGTCTAACAAATACCTCTGCATTTATTCATGAATATATGCTTGTGTGGCTGTATAAGTACATACACACTACATACTTCCATTGAAGAATCAGATGAGTTTTACTTACTAGCAAAAAGATTAAAATCACATAAAATCTTCCTGTTCAGGTCATACTGAGGAGAGGCAAAATAACAGCATAATAATCAATAATTTACCAGGATTTATGTCTATTTTAAACAAGTGTTTACTAAGGTAAAATTTTTTATTCCCATGTCTGTGGTTTTATTTCCGCTATGTGTCTAGCACTGTTGGCCATTAAAATCTTTTCTAAATTCTATAAAATATATTTTAGAGTGCAATACATTATCACTGTTATTAAATGTTTCCATTTCTTTCATTTTGTAAAGGAACAATGAAAGAACTCAAAGCACAGACAAAAATGATAGATCACCCCAAAAGTAATCAGTGAGGAATAGGATTTTAAGTTACAGGTTCTATCAATAAATTAAACCTAATGGAAACTTAATAGAAGCAAATTTGTTTCCTACTAGATTTTCAAATACTTAGGCTGGCACCTACCATGCTCACAGGGAAAAGCAAATCCAATTTAAAACTTTATGAACAGGAAAAAAAAAAGTCAAAATATATGGGAATGAAAAATACACACCCATTTGCTTTGAAACATATGGATAAACTACACGGAGGTATACTGGGTGTGCAAAGCTGACTAGGACATTCCTCTGGCCTGTGGAAGTGTATAGGTTAATGAGAGGAACAGAAAATTTCAATGAAATATGTTAATACGTTAAGTGGTAAGACTGAATTTTTAATCACAGAAGTTCGGGAAAATACTGCTGGAAGATGATGCCTGAGTTAAATATTTAACAAATGTATTAAGAGTATAAAAGTACACAATATGAAGTTAATAATGTAAGACGATGAGATTTCTGGAGAACATAACAAAACAAATATTTTAAAAACACATGAAAATACAGACATAGATTACATGTGTCAGTCTCCCCTAATACATATAGAAAATCTCAGTGGGTTTGTGGTAGAGGGCAAAAGCTAATCTCTTGACTAGATAGTGGTGTTATAACTCTTAAAACCTTTTATTTCCTCTAATGTGCTCAGAGAAACAAGAGCCAGGAGGATTGGAAAGAGAACACACAGTAGATAGTAACCTGAAGTTACTCAAAATAGAAGAGTAATAAGAAGCACCCCTTCTGCAATTCACAGAATTGACTATTGATCCATTCCCAAAAAGTATGCATAGGAAGTGTTTTGCTCAAACACCATACATAGCCTTACTACAATCAAGATAAAATGTTACCTATGATATATTCACCTGTTCAGTAACATTTCACTATAAATTTCTTCATTTAAGATTTCAAGTTAATAGCTGAAAGACAGAACTCCTAAATAATTTTCTAAGTAATTCCCATAGTCAGAAATAAGTATTTGAATATTTTATTTTCCATGGTAACCTATCAAATAAAAAGAGTACGGCCTGACCAAATGATACTATCAAAACACATCCACCCTTTCTCAATGAATTTTAAAAGATCCTTCATGAATAAACTTCAATGAATGGTTGTTATTTTCCCAAAACGCTGAATTCTAAAACACAGAAAATTGCTATCACTTTACAAGATGGGAAAATTGTGTAGTTCAGTTGTGAAATGAATCATCTCAGACATCAAAATTCAAATATTTCTTTACTTTTCTTTTGGGGTCAGGTGAGTTGTTTAATTATCACTGAAACATTTCCAAACATAAATGGAATTCTCTTAGATTTGCAAATAAGTATTTTAAATTGTGTCAGGTAGGAGTATCAGAGTGAAACACAGCATAGAGATAAAATGAGAGCAATACAATGATGGGAGTAGGTGATATGGTTGAAGAAAGAAAAGGAATCCAGCCAGGGAATGTAAGAAAATGAACATAGACATATAGAAACATCCTACAGAGAACACAGAAAAAGCAGTAAGATTTGACAGCAACCTACATAAAGGACTAATGAGAATAAAAATAGAGAAATCAATGTTCTGGGGGAAAAAAAAGACCAAAAATGGATTTTTATGAAAATGGATGAGACATCAGAAAGTGGGACAGAATGGCTCCAGAAGGTGAAAATCATAGGAAATAATGGAGAACACTTCAGATGTGCTTGTAAAATTTGGCCATGGCTGTTACAGGTAACCTCCTGTATGTTTAAGTACCAAATTCAAAGTCCGGTACCTTTGCTTTATCTCTCATGGATCCTTTGCCCAGGATGGACATTTTAGCACCTGTTTCTTCCTGTAGCCTCTTCAAGGAGTTTCCTCTTGGTCCGAGCAATTTCCCCACAAAATTGAACTAGAAACAAAATCAATAGAATGTTTGTTTTAAAGGAGAGAAAAGTAATAATGTGTACTGAGAATAACTGATGGGAGTGGGTTTTTCAAACTTTACCTGGAATAGAGAATTATGCCATTCACACACACACACACACACACACACACACACACACACACACACACACACGAAACCATTTCAGACTTCTTATCAAGGATCCATTTGAAAAAGGATGCCTCATTCCAAAGGAATGTCAAAATCAATAATGAATATATCATTTAATATATAATCAAATACACAAATAGGGAAAAGAACAATGGTTTACAAACTTTCTAGAGGCTCTTTATCTCCAATCAGATTATTAAATAAAAAACAAATTTAACTTTGTACCTTCAAAATTGCAAAACGTAATATTTTAAATTGATTTTTAAAATGAAATCTAATATTCATGTTTATTAAGCATTGTCTGTATCCATAATATTCTATTCCAAATTTCATGATTAGGAATAAAGAGATTCAATTTTTCTTCAATATTAAAGAGTTTTCTATGTTAAAGCGTTGTTCTTGGAGCAAATAAAAGATGTGATTACATAGACAAGAATTTAAACACTACGGATAGAACACATATAGAAAACAGTTTTGTCTAAATCTGGAAAAATATCAGGGGTGGACCTTTCAATTTGTTTATTCATTCTGAAACATGGTTAAAAACAGGTAAACTAAGAGAAGTTTTTAGAATATGCTGTCAGCTAGAAAAAGAACATTACCAAACCAAATGACTCAGATACCCATACACTGATTAATTTAAAAATTGTAAAAGGTTGAAAATGCACCAAAAACTGTATTTATACTTCATATTGTGCACATGAAGGATAAAGATAAATGAAATTAAGTAATTGCTTTCTAAAGCAGAGTTTTCCAAGTTTTCTAAAAATCCATGGTCCTACAGTAAGAAACAGACTACACTCAATAGTGAAAGACTGAATGCTTTCCCAAGTCCAGGATGAAGTCAAGCATGTCTACTCTTACAGCTATTCAGTGTTCTACTAGAGCATGGATTGTTGTACCTATAGGCAAATAGATAAATGGAACAGTATAAAGTGCAGAAAGAACACAGTTAGAAGGTCAACTGGTTTTCAACAAAAGTGCCAAAGACAACAGATTTGAAAAAGTCTAACAAATGGCCCTGGAATGACAAGATATTCATATACCCTCCCCTCAAAAAAAGCAAAAACAAAATAAACACAGAAAACTTTTTATGTCCTACTTCACAGTTAGGTAAACCTTATTTTGAGATCTGTAATAGATCTAAACATAAAAGGTAAAATTATAAACATTCTAGGAAGAAAGCACAGAAGAATGTCTTTGCAATCTTAAACTGGGAAATATTACTTAACTGGGAAGCAAAGAGCATTCACTAAAACTTTTGCTGATCAAAAAACCATTAAGAAATTGAATAGACTTTTTCATTAAGCCACAGACTGAGAGAAAATACTCCCCATACATACATCTGAAAAATGACTAGAATTTAGAATCTATAAAAATCTCCATCAAGTAAATAATTAAACACACATCAGAATTGCTAAAGGGAAAAAACAGCTCAAATGTTGAGAATGTGAACTACTGAAGCAATCACTGTTGGCAATTTAAAATAATACAACTACTTTGGAAAGAAAATTGGCAGTTATTTATGAAATTAATCATAGAACTCTTCTATGATCCAGTAATTCTATCCATAAGTATTTAACCAAGAGAAATAAAAGCACACATTCACAAAACGACTTCCACATGAATGTCTGTGAGATGTTATTCACAACTATGATTAAACTAGAAATAAACCAGCACCCATTCAAGGAGAAAAGATAACCAAGTTTATATATAAATAGGAATTAGTCACTGATTGACACAATGGCATGGATGCATATCACATTATGCTGGAAGAAGCCAGATACAAAAAAGTATATCATGTCAAATTCCATTAATACAAAATTCTAGAAGCAAAAATAATACATGACATTATAATTCATAAGTCTGGTTACCTATTGAGACTAGAAGGCTGAGGTTGGACTGGCTGGAAAATGGCATGAAGGAAACATCTGGGGTGACAGACTGTTTTTTATTTTGTTGACAGTATAGGTATATATATTTTTTTAACTGCAAGCTGCACCCTAAGAGCTGTGCATTTTACCGTATGTAAATAGTACTTCAATTAAGAGTGGGGGAAAAAATCAGAAGGTTGAGAACTCATAATGTGTTTTAAAAAGTAATATCATAATGATATGTCTAGTCCCAGGTGGTTGTACAAAGGAATCTCACTAGACTTTTAGGAAATATGCCATTCTAATCTATGCAAAGGTTGGAGGTCATCAAAATGCTGGTTGATCTACAAACTGGACCTGGGGAATCAGACACTCCTTACTCCCTTCACCATCTTTAGAATTTCCATTCTTCCCACTGTTCCCATAGTAGTAGCCAATTCAAGGATCCTTAAGTAATGTGTTGTTGAGACCATCTGAGCAGAATAGGTGATTGGATGCCATAAATCCTCTTTGTCAACTCTTAAAATTCTGGAGGACAGGTATGAAGGTAGACTCATTGCAGCTGCCCAAGACAAGTCTTAGATATCAGTTCCCTTGCTTTTTACCAACCAATCTGGGGCAGTCGGCCTAGTTCTTTGGTCTCTCCTTGCCCTTCATATACAAGGGCCACTTTCAAATTTCACCTGGGTAACTCCCAAGATTGCCAACCAATAGCAGCAGTGAAAATGAATTACCCATCATATGAAATCTTGTTAACAAATCCTAAAAATAATATTTTGAGTGAAAAATTCAAGCTCTAGACAAATGGCACTGTTTTTATAAAACTCTACAAACAAAATTTAAAAATATTTTGCTTATGAATACATACATAGTCAATCTAATCCTCAAATAACGGGTATAATAATAAATACAAAATTTCAAGGGAAACTTCATGACCTTAATGGATATCAGCAAATATTATCAAAGGGAAACATACAGGAGTTGACAAATAGGCAATATTTTAGACTTTAGTTTAACTTAGGGGTTCATAAGTGTTCATTTTTTAATATTGTTTTACTGCATATGAAAATTACACATATTATTTGACTGCATTAAATATGATACAACTTTTAAAAGAAATCAGATAGAACAATTCCAGTGGAATAAAATTTGACTGACATTTTCTTTAGTACTCTGTCTCAGAACTTTTTTTGCCCTTTTTCCAAGTAGTAATAAAATATAGAATACAAAAGTATCAAGGCATTCAAAGTGATGTCTCCACTAGGAAGGTTAATGACTGAAGGGAAGAGAGAGCATTTCACACATTCCTGACTGAGGACAATTTACTGACAAAATATATACATGGTCCCCAAAATATATACATGGTCCCTACTCTCAGAGGTTTCTGTTCTCTGTCATGATTAATTTGACACATTTCCCAACACTTCTATTTCAACAGTAACTTTATTTCTAACGAATGACCAATCTGAAAACAAACTGTCTTAAAGTGCTAAGAAAAATATCCCTCTGAATTTTTTCACTAACTCTACCCTCTGAAATAGAACACAGGCATCCAACAGAATGAAGATATTATATAATCAGAGATTTAATTTCACAAGCTGATGGAAAGTATCTTTTATGATTAACATGAACTACACAACATTATTTTAGGCGAGCAGTCCTCCTTTCAATGCTTCTGAAATTTAAACATGCACCATCTACCACCTGCTTTTGCTAACAAGTGCTTATTTATCATAGTTTAAGTTGACTTAAGTGTTTTTCTCTCTTCCCTAATATCTGGAGTTTTTGGAGCCAACACTGTGGAATGCTTCCAAGGACTTTTTTTTTTTATTCCAATTATTTGGTTGACTAAAATGCTCCCACATTAGTGAATAATTAGGCCATAATTCTTCAGAGCATGGTGTTGAAGTCAAATTGCATGGGTCTATAAAGTTGCTAGCTGCATAAATCTGGCTGTATTACCTAACTTAACCTAACACTAAACTTCACTCTTCTTATCCATAAAATGGGGATGATAAAGACAATAACATATGCACAGTAAGTGCTCAATAAATGTAGACTGTTATGTTATGCTTGCTACATGATTATTATAGTTTCAGTATACTGTCATAGTGCCTGACACATAGTGAAGTTTGACTTTGGTAACCATTACTATTTTATTATTTTTATATCGTTAATATTTTCATATTTATGATAGAGAATTATTTTTTAGAATTAGATGCTACTATTACTTGCTAAAATTCGTATTTTCCAACATACAGCAGTGTCTTCATTATTTAGCCATAATTTAGTAATTTGGGAAGCTCTAAGATTCTTAGGCTTGGTAGAGTGAACAGCTGTGTTTTCAGTATGTCAAATATATTCAAATAATCTGAAAGTATTTTATCTCCAGGTTTTAAGAAAATTAAATTTGTGTGTGTTGAATTCATTTATGCTTAAGTCACTGAACAATTGTTTTATAATTTTTATATGCAAAACGTTTTTTAAGCAATTATGATCATATTTTTAATTATTTTTCTAAAAGCAAATATTTAAATTGTGTTGAGCAAAATGAACCAAAAGGAATGCATTTCAATGGATTTGTAAAGTAACAAAATATAATTTGTGGCAAAGCAAGTGCTTCCCATAAAACTAGGGACATTTTAAGAAAAATATTTGAAGACATATTTAACATAGTAAACCCAAGAACAAATTTAAAATTAGGTAAAAATCAACTTCAATAATGTTGGGCTTATATATTTCAAAATTTACAAATTCATCATCTAAGCACAGGTAACCCAAAATGTCTTACTTAGAGTTTCCCATTTTACCCTTTCCACATAATATATTTCTCTGATTAACAATATTTCATCAATACTTGTGTGAAATCACCCTTTTTTTTACACGTGGTATTTCTCTGATCACGTTGATAAACTATCCCAGCAACTCTGTTCCTTCTCAAATAGGAGACACAATTTACCTAGTCTAATTTCTGTTTTGGGG